ATGTTACGTGGCATGGCTGTAGTTCCCCTGGTCGGCCCTTCCCGAATGCCTGGGAGCAGCATCGTCAGGATTCCAGTGATTTCTGTACTTCTCGCTTGGATTCTTCACTATTGCTTCACAGAATGGAATGCGTCTTGCGAATCATGCTCATTTGTTTTCCAAGATATACAGCTGTGGCCATCGAACAATGTGTAAGTCTTTTCATTCCTAAACTTCGATGCGTTTTCTTGTGTGCTGCAGACGGCCTAACTGACAGTACTCTAATATTGCCAAACCTTGCGATTCTTTCAAACCATTTACATCTGCTCGTGATCTTTAGTTTCTTTTGCTTATATACAGCCGAAACAGGGGATAGAAAGGGGCCTAACAAAATAAGCTATTGTTTTGTAGCTACGAATTTACCTTATTACTGTACCATGCTTTTAAGACCCCTGTAACCTGCGAACTATTCTTTTTTGGTCATACTTGCCAAGTTTCTGTACCACTGAACACCATGTTATTCAGCTACTTTTAGTGATGTTATTGAACTCTTTGTTGCATTCTACTTTACTTGATGCGGTCCGTTTACTTCTAGCCTGCCGTTTGTCGCTTCTCACACGGTAGTCCAGTTTGATGGAGTTTATCATCAAACATCCGTGCACCGAAATACGACGGATCCAGTTGCCACCAGCTACGACGTCGAACTTGTGGTCGCTGTCTGCTTTCGTCTAGCCGTGATGAAATCACTCTGTACCTTACGTACTCGCCTACTGATTCCTCGTACCCAGTGCTCATCCAGTATTGCTTTTAATGCTATGAATTAATTGACATCTTAAGTTTAGAAAGTCGTTTCTTTGGTGTAGCATTCTTTTTTCTTCATTGCAGTAGGGTGCAAATCGGTTTTGGTAAGTTGCGCCAAATCACATCCAAAAACAGTCTGGTAGATCGTTGCCGTTCCACGCTGAGCCAATTGTCTCGAATTCCTGCGCCACAGGATCAGATAAAATGTACGCTATTTAAGCATTTACGGAAGAATAAAAGAGCCATGCGGTGTCTGCGGACTTGTAATGATTATCTTACCAAGTCTGGATGTGATTAATTATCATTTCACTTTACTGGTGCACTGCTGCTTCCGATGATGCTAATGATGTTAATAATGACGCTGACGATTATGACTATCTAATCCCCTCTACTGCTTCTTGGTACTAAATATAGCCTACAACCAACGAGCGCAGGACAAGTTCGTTTGCTACAGTGCTTAAGGGTCAATAATGGGGAACTGATGAGAGTTCCACTTAGCTCGTGATGGTGCGTGTCCCATGGATTAAATAACCACCGATATGGCGATCATGATGCCCTCAACCAAGAGAACGGCAGGCACTAACCCCATCCAACTTTCCAATGAGTTTTTTACTCATGTATTGTATCACCGAGGTATCACTCGACTAGATGCAGTGTTGTAGAATAGCGCACACCTGGGCAACTAACTGGCTGGTATGCGGAGCACCTAAAGCAATTCGATTTCTGCAGGCACGTCAGCAACTCATCTAATATATATATATATATATATATATATATATATATATATATATATATATATATATATATATATGCTTGGCGGCATCCGGTTTCGGATTTGCCTGTCACTGTGGCCAGTCACAAGACGCCTGCGCCTACAGAGGGACTATGGGTGGCTTGCGCTGCACCACCCCTACCCCCTATCCAGTGTAAACCCGAAGTAATAAGACCGGGAGACATGCGGATGGGAACCACGTTTCCTCAACGGAGCCGGCCCACACTCCTTCACAGGCAAACACAAGCACGCTGTGTTTGGGGAATCAAGCGCACACAAGGCGATGGCTGGACCGTAGTCCGCTCCACACTGAGTGCATGGAACCACTCTTCGAGCCTGGCACGACCACAAGACCGTGCACTCCGTCCCCTCCAGCAACAGTCAGCTGTCTCCTAGAGCCAGTATGGATGAGGTATAGGGTGTTAGGTAGGCAGTTTATCAAAATGCACATCAAGCGCAGCCACACCGGAGATATCGAGCAACAGCCGGTCACTTGTCACGTCTATATAAAATAAAATAACTCATATCTTGCATAAAGCTGTGGTGACATAAGTCTTCATTAAATGAGCTTATGAAATGAATTTATTGCCAACGAATCCGTGATAATTTTAAGATGTCAGAAAATACATTTTAAGAAAATGCCGCAAACGCGAAAATGTTCTCGAATTTAACCAGAGTAAGTTAGGGGACTGCAAGTTTACAGAAGGTAGTTCAGATCGATATTCATATGAGATAAAAAAGCATTGGGACAATATAGCAAACCTACCACCTGAAATAAAGAGACTCAGCATGCAAGCACGCGGTTAGTAAATCGAATGCAGCGTACCTACAAACGCTGTACCGGTTCTGCCTACGTTCCCTGCAGGACCCGTCGTCGCTTCGGTGGTGTTCCCGAGTGACCTCGCTCATGGCTCACTAGGCCTGCCCAACTCAGGCACTCTCGACCGCATGTGCTACAGCGCCATGCGCTCGATGTCGCTGGAGTACAACCCATCGGCGTCTGTCGCTTCCGCAATTGTCACTTCTTCTCCACATGCATGAGGGATTTCTCTTGCACCTCGGCAACGACCTTTGTGATCAGATCGTGCCATGCACGCCGATAAACCGCTTTCGATTCCCATGACCTGGAATCAAGGTTAGAACGTGAGAGGCTCACTTTGATCATGTCCTGGTAACATGACTTTAGTTTCCTGCATGCCGCTTCCCAACACAGCTGGCCATATAATAGCTGCGTCTGTACCCGCATTGAATCCATACGCGACACATGACCGAGCCACCTCAGGTGTCTCAGCAAGAGAATGCAGTCTACTGCATACATTCCACTTCTGCACAACATTTCCGTATCTGCAACTCTGTCGCATCAACTGATGCGCAGAATCCGTCTCAAAGACCGTTGATGGGACCGCTCGAGATATCGCACATCCCCCCGGTACATCGTCGACGTTTCACTGCCGTATAGAAGAGGGGACAGCATCATGGATTTGTACACCATTAGCTTCGTGCAACGGTAAGCTAATGGTTGTCCCGCACTCCATACTCAAGCTTCCCGAATTCCACCGCTGCCTTCGAGACGCGGATATGAAGCTCACTGTGAAGCTGCTGGTCAGTCGACATCACACTCCCAAGGTAGCAGAAGTGAGAGGTGGTTTCTAATACTTCAGCACCAATGCTGATTTGCGGCAATATTGCAGATTGCACCTCCGGTGAAGGCTGAAAGAGACAGACAGTTTTGCTTGTGTTGATGGTGAGCCCGCATTTGGCCGCTGTCGAAGCCAGAGCACTAGTCATGTGCTGCAACTCATCCGCGCTGTGTGAAAACAACGCACAGTCGTCAGCAAACAGCAACATACGGATAGTTGTCTCACAAACTAGACTTCTCGCACCGAAACTACGGATGTTCCGCAACCCACCGTCAATACGGTGCTCCACGCGAGCACTGTAAGCACATGCCGCATCAAAAGCACAAGACATCCTTGCCTGAAGATAAATTTTAAACAGGGCAGGAGCTAAGACGCAGCGTTGTTTCACACCAGAGACAACTGCAAAGTCATCCGAGGTCTGTCCACTCAGGTGCACCCTCGCCCGCATATCACTGTGCAGACATTCAATTAAACTTACAAACTTACGCGGGCAACCAAACTTACCCAACACTAGCCACAATGCCTCGCGGTTCACCATATCAAATGCGTTGGTGAAGTCAACGAAAAGCGAGTACAACTGATGGTGTCCTTCTGTACAATCCTGCAACTGAGGAGCCGCAGCACCATATCTATAGTGCTGCGACTCGAAAGAAATCCACACTGCTATTCCGCCACGTTCGGTTCCACGACCTGAGTGACTAGGCTGCTGAGAAGGATTCGGGCAATCACCTTGCCCACACAACTCAGCATGTTGATGCCACGATAATTCGTGCAACATTGCTTGCTCCCTTTGCCCTTGTACAATGGTAGCGCAAGGGCATCCTTCAGCTCATGAGGCACCTCTTCCTCAATCCATACGAGTTGCACCAAGTGGTGCAGCGCAGTCACCAACGCGGGTCCGCCATGTTATGATACTTAAGGTGCGATCCCGTCGGCACCGGCACACTTGCCGTTTTGCAGCTTAGCAAGTGCTCTCTGCGTTTCATCCATTGTCGGCGCTTCCACCAGACTCGCCTTCACATCGTGATGCTTCATGCCTCTCAATGTAGACCAGTCGATCTCTGAACGGTTGTTCAAGAGACAGTCAAAGTATTTCCGCCAGATCTGCACTGTCTGCAGGCGGTGTGCAGGTAGCACCCGAGCTACCATTGATCAGCGTCCTCAACGGCCCCAACCTCGGTCCATACACCGCCTTCAAGTAGTTAAAGAATTCCTTGTGTTGGCAGCGTTCGGCGTAGCATTCCATCTGCTTCGCCTTCTCTGTCCACCATGTATTTTTAATACGACGGAGATCTCTGGTCAGTCGCTGTCGAACTTTGCGGAACTGACTATTCCTCCCCAAGTCACTGGGATCTGCCACATGTTCAGCGAATGGTGCATTCTTCTCACACACCAATGCACCAATCGTCGCATTGTTCTCGTCAATCTAATTAGGCCGCTTACCATTTACGTGCGCGATGATCTCCTTGACAGCAGCTGTCATCTGGTCGCGAATGTGGTGCCACAGGTCGCCCACTGTGGCTATGCAGTCCACATCACCACAGGCGTGCAGCCATCGCCTTCTCCAGCTCAATACGTTTCTCCACAGTACCGAGGGAGAGAATGTTAAATTTACGCCGATTCACGGCGTGAGTGCAATACATAGATTTACGAAAATATATGTACAGTTTGGTGTGCATCAATTTATGATCAGTGCCACACTCAGCTCCACGCAGTACACGTGTCATGCGCACTTCACGCATATCACGCTGACGTACGATGACATAGTCGAGCAGTTGAGCGTGACCACTCCGTGGGTGGGTCCAAGTTGCTATATCACTCGCGCTCATTGCAAACCGAGTGTTCGTGATCGTCAGGCCGTGAGTGGCACATAGTGAGAGCAGCCTGTCACCGTTCGCATTCGTTGAACCAATGCCATGCGGACCGATGACATCTGTCCATACCGATGCATCACGCCTAACGTGCGCGTTGAAATCACCCAGCAGAAATAGTGGGTCGC